AAATAATTTTTGGAATTAAGCATATCTTTAAGTTACAAAGTCCTTTAAAATAAATCCTGATATCAGAGGCAAAAATCGAAAAATTCGTTGTCTGCAATGTGAACTTGTTTAGTATTTTTGTAAAGGTAATTTATCCACTAAAAAGAATTAAATAGAAATTTCCCTATAACATGAATTATATGCCGCCTAGAAGCCACTAAAGTTGACAAATTGTATACTAAGAATATTAATAAGAATAAATACATAAAAAGACATTATTTGAAATGAAATGTTGGTTTTACGTTTCTTATTTCCATATGGATAGTAGAGAGCTACGGTATTAAATATTTTGGAACAAAATTGAACACAGGTTGTCCCTGCGGTATTCCAGAAAAACAATTTTTTTTTATCAAAATTTCCAAAAATGTTAAATTTTAATGGAATGAATAAAAAATATATGTAAAAATATATTATTTTTTATTATTTTATTAAATAGCACGGGTTTTTAGCACTCGAAAGAAGAATTAAAATCCTGCTAATGCATAAAATTATACATATGTTGGTATGTGTGTATGTACATTAGGGTGGTCCAAAAAGGCATGTTTCCCCCACAAAGTCGGAATTTTTATACTCTCACCGAAAAAATATGCTCTTAAGTTTTCCATGTATTTTATATGGGGGAAAAAAAACCACTTTTCGTAGAAATGGTATAGAAAAGTTAAAAATCAATATTTTTCTCCCAGAAAACTCTGTTTATCTGCAGGAGATTCCCAAAAATAATAGCCAATTGTTTAACCATTTTTTCATCGCAACTATAATTTATAGGTCCACCAAAAGCCCACAAAACCCCGAAAAATGCAATGGGGCGACCAATTAAAAATCGTTGGTATTAAAAAATGTTTAAATAAAATGTTTAAATGTTGAAAGTCTCCTGAAGAGAACCAGAGTTTTCTGAACGAAAAATATTGATTTGCAAGAATTCTATACCATTTCAACGAAAAATTTTATTTTCCCCGTATAAAAATACATGGAAAACTTTGAGCGCTTTGAGCGACCTCTAAATATTTTTTGATTTCAAAATATAAAAAAATAGGTGTATACTTTTTTGGATATAGAACCATCCTAGCGGGTGAGAGCATTACAATTCCGACTTCACTGTTTTTGGACCACCCTAATGTACATATGTATGTCTGTTTGAATGATCTTAAACCAGTTATGACAACTTATTATTTTAAAACACAATTCTTTGTACTTAATTTTTTTTTTTTTACTTCCAAGGCCGAAGCGATAAATCAACTCGATTGTTAAAATTTAGTATACATACATACATATGCGTAATCAAGTGCAGAGCTCCACACTTGCTTATCAAGTATTCTAATGTTGCTAAAAAATTTCGCTGATTTTTGAAAATTTTTTGCGCTGACAATGACACTAATTTTCTTCCATTCGAATACAAATAGTATGTATGTACTAGGGATGTTAATTTTTTTACTTTTTACGATTCCGGGATTTTCGAGATGTCATTATCACAATCCCGGGATCCGGGGATTAGTCCCGGGATTTAGATATTCATTACTTTTCAACAACTTAAATCGAAAAAATTTGCATCTATCTCTCTTACCATAAAAGAAATAATAAATAAATGAGTTTGAAACCTATTTTTTTATTTAAAGTGCCGCCACAGTGCTTCCCCTCCATATGAAATGTGGGCAAAAATAGAATTATGGACGCTTCTTAGTAAAAATGAGAACGGTAAATTCAAAAATGCAATTTGTTTTTGGATAACTTTCATACTTTCACTGTAAATTAGTGATGTGCCGAGTCGAGTCGACTCGAGTTCTGACTCGAGTATTTTAGAAGTACTCACGTACTCGAGTAAGCAAATTATAGTATTCGCATACACAGACTCGAGTACGGGTCTCGAGTACTTATAATTATCAAACACCGAATCAGGTATTTTTGATATATAAATGGCGGTTTAGCGTTAAAAAAAATATATATGTATATATATTTACCAAATACACCACACAACTAAATTAAATTTAATATCGTTATAGGTATTAATTGCCAAAGATGAAAGGAATTTTAAATTCCAAAGGAGTAATTTTATTGTTTATGAATCTAGATCTCATGGAATATTGTCATTATAATTTAAGTACTAGTTGAACCTTTAAGGTACTGAAGATTTATTTGTTTTAACTCATTATTTACTTTGGATATTTTTTTTATGACAGACTACTAAGTTCTAGTTGTACTATGATAAATAAAGCAACTGTTATTGAACCCTATATTTATTTAATTTTAATTATTATTTGTAAGTATGTAGGAATTAGATTTCTATGTTTGGATCTACATAAATCGGATATACTGTCTTGGAGTTAATAATAATATCATGTTAAATAAAAAGTCGGCATTTCGGTTGGGTGCATGTTCAGCAGTCGAATCTATAACGTATTCGAATACCGAGCTCTGAACTCGAATACTTGATCCGAGTATCTGACTCGAATCCTGACTCGATTCTTTTTTAAATGAGTACCAAAATACTCGAGTACCAAAAATAGCCGACTCGGCACATCACTACTGTAAATGCAGTTTGAAGCTGAAAATTTGCGTTCTTGTGGCATTTATATAGGTATGTACTACATATAGTTCGTTCTATTTCCAAAAGTGAGGTGTCAAATGACAGGGCTTGGCCTGCAGATGTGCAATAAAGTTTTATTTTTTTTAACGAATTGCCACCTGTTACTAATTTTATTAAAATTATTTAATTAATTAAATGAACTAGATATTACAATACGGGAGTCAATTGAAATAGTTTTGAAAATGATTTACTTTTCGACGACGAAGGTAGAAGGGTGGCCATAGTTTAAAAAAAACCAATTCACTTTAATAAAGGGAATAAGGTAACTGAAATTTGTATATCAATGTCAACCAAGAAATAAGTGAAGAGTAAAAACATTCCTGAGTTAATTTAAGAGTCCAGTAATTTAAAAGGAATGTAATCAGAACAAATCACTGCTTGACAATGTATGTATTTGCAATAAAATAACAAATACGATGTCGTAAGCCTTTGGTTTGACACAATTATTATTTTATTAAAACTAGATTTGACTTTACAAACAGGTGGCAACCATCTTCGTAATATTTGCAAGCTAAAACCTTCTTAAATCTCTCTCATTTGACTCCCATATGGTGATGATATATATCTATTTCAATAACCTAATTCCTTTAATTCCAATAGAATTTGATTTCTTCAACAGGTGGCAACCCTCTACATGTAGTTAAGAAATAAACCCTTTTCATACACATTTCGGTTGATACCCATCTCTTAATAATTTATTTAACTTATTAAAAAATTGGAATTCATTTTTTAACAGGTAGCAACTCTAAAAAAAAAATAACCTATTGTCTACAGGTCAAGCTTTTTAATCAGGCACTTCATTTTTGAAAATAATATGAATCGTGCATGATTTTATGCATTAGCATGTATGTAAATATCTTTTCACAACTAAGTGACTAAGTACGATCTCCACGCGACCATTTTGCAAGTCTTCATAGAACAACAACAGTCAAGTAAATATTTACCAAGCTTTCTCCCAGCGGTGCATTGTACGGTCTCTATAAATTATCAACACATTTGCCTAAGCTTAATAATCGAGCACGATTGAGGCAACTTGAGTCCCGAAAAGATTTACTTTAATTAAATATTTACAAAATTAGTAGTTAGCTGTTGTTTAATGAAAAAAGGTTAGTATTAGTCTTATCAGAGCGTTATAATTTGACATGGGGATTATTTTTCTGACACATTATATTGCGTAGAGGGTATCGGTTTTAGGCATATACATACATTTCAACATAACTTGGAAAGTTAATAAGACATGATAAAAGCTCTGAATATACAACTAACAACGATGTATTACACAGGGCCACACTGATTTTGGTACGGCAAATGTTAAAACTGTTTTTGATAGACTTTTCTGTGCTTACTACGAACCCGTAACCCGAACCCCATTAGGCCCAGATTTTGAGAAAAACCAGGTCAAAGTGTCAAAAAATCGTGTTTTTTGCAATATTTGAGAAGCTTTGGCAAAGAAAGAAATTTTTTTTTCCATTTTTATTGACCTGTGTTATTTATAGAAACGGATATAATATCAAAAAGTTATAGAAAAAATCGATTTATAAAAATTTCACAGGGTGCCGAACATACATACTTTCATAGCACTGTAGGGAAAATTGCAAGTTTTAAAATTACAACCAAAAAAAAAAACGCTGAAACACGTGTACCCAACTTCTAGTCGTGGATTACGAAACCCTATTTGGTTTTTTAGATTAGGTAATTTTTGCAAGATATTTTGATTTTTGTGAAAAAACAACAACAAAGTTTAACATGGAAAAAATTAACAGATTTTTTGTAAATTTTTTTCATTTGCACATATTAAAGTCTCTTCTTAAAAAAAAAACTCAAGCTGCTAGCGAAGAAAATCGATAAAAAAAATAAAAAAAGTTTGTAAATCATAAAATGAAAATGCGTAATACTTTTTTTGGTTGAAATGTGAGCAGCAAAGAATGTTACTCATACGCCATATAGTACATGGCCATACTCTTACATGGCGTATGTGTAATATTTTCCATGTTAAAGTTTGAATTTTTTTCATTCGTAATGCAAACTCAAAATGAAAATATCTTAGGAAAATGACCAGATCTAGAAAAAGGTTTTTTATGTTTCGGCGTTTTTTTGTGTCATTTTAGCGTTCCTGCAGTGAAATGTGTGTTCAAAATCGCTTGGAAGAAATACAGTCTAATGTAAATACATATATAAATTCTTTAAAGTAAATATTTTTACAGAAAGTTCACGCCTACAATCGATTTTTTTTTTTTTAACTGAATTAATTTGGGTGTAGGGTGCTTCAGTTGGCGAAAAATTCTTCATACATACATATGTATTGTTATTGTGCTAATTTTTGTATATAAAGAATCTAATTGATTAATTTACTGATTACTTTACATTTATCTCGTTACAGTTTCGCAAAAGCGTTTCCGATGTTCTCAACGATACACATGATGATTACTTTCTTCTACGTTGGCTGCGTGGTATGACAAGCTTCCTAATTCATTCATTGCAAAAGCATCCTTTTCACAATAATTTATATTTTTGTTTTCCCTTTTCAAATTTAGCACGCAAATGGAATCCAGAGGCGGCCGAGCATATGTTACGAGCGGTAAGATAATATTTTACTTTTTTTTTATATTCTCAAATGCAGCAACCCGCACCATTTTTGCGGGATCAGAAATGAGGGAGTACACATGCGGGATCCGCGAGAAATCGATAAATAAGTGTACCCGCGGAAAATTTTATTTTTTTTCTTAGGCTTCCTTTCAGATGCTAAATTTCGAATATATTCTGGCACACATTCAGCTCTAGTGTAATTGTCAAGAGTATCTTATATAGAATATATATTATTTTAAGACCATTTTCAAATATCAAACGGTAAAAGGTTACGCTGAAAAACAGGAAAACTTAGTTAAATTTGAATAATCCAGAATCACTGATGTTTAAGCTAGTTTCAAAAGTTCCTGAGATATGCCTACATATATGTGCAATAAAATACGGTCGAATTTAAAAGATAAAACTTTAAAGACTTTATCATTCTTTCGGAAGTATTATCAAAAAAGTCAACCCAATTAAAAATAAATACGTAGATTTTTTAAATCAACACTTTTTTTATATATGAATTTTGAATATAACTGTTTAGAGGATATAATATGATTTTTTTCTCAGTCCCGTAAATCCCGCGAATCAGCGGGCTTGATTATCTCGATCAAGCAGGCTTGCGGGATTGCGATTTTTATGCGGGATTGGCTTCTCTAGTTGTGACTGCAACATTTTAAAACAACAGGGTTTAGTTTATAAAATTTATTAAGGAAAATAAAATGAAAACTCTAAATCTTAAAAATTTTTTTCAGTTATAAAACAGCAACATTTCAAAATGGTCAAACCAGAAGTCATAGATCGCGAAGGAAAAATAAATATAAAATATACATTTCCTTTAATAAATTGTATTTCCACATGTGAAGTACAATTGATAAATAACCTTTGAAATTGATTTGAGAGATAACCATATTCTCAAATGGAGATCAAACTCCCCTTTTTTATTGAGAAAGCTGCAATTTTCAAATCAATATCAAATCATGTTTGACATTTGAGAAAGGCTTTAAGTTCAAATCATTCTCAAATGTATATCAAACTCAATTGTTTGCTGGGAATTCCAGTGTTATTTTACAAAATAACGACCACTACAACCTACATATTTACATACATACATCATTCTTTATAGAGTTTGAAGACACGAGCCACGTGGAATGTGGACAACTTGGAGAAATGGGATGCGCCACGTGCTCTCAGGGAATATATGCCGTATGGATTGATTGGTTACGATAACGAGGGATCGCCAAGTAGGTGCAGCCATTCGCTTAATTATATTTTAGTAACATTTATTATTTCAACATTTTCGCAGTTATTGTTTGTCCATTCTACAAATTCGATATTTGGGGTATGCTACACTGTGTCACACGTTTCGACTTCCAACGTTACTTGGTCTTACTATTGGAACGTTTTATGCAAGCTGGATATGAACAAAGCAAAACATATGGACCACAAGCTCGACAATTGGTAGTCTTTTTCGATATGGCTGATTCCAATTTGAAGCAATATGCATGGCGGCCAGCGGCCGAGTGTGTTCTATCAACGGTCAAAGAGTACGAGAGCAATTATCCTGAGTTGCTGAAAATGTGCTATATTGTCAATGGTACCATCGATGTGCATACATACTTCTTTCAACGAGACCTAATGTTTATGTTTTTTTTTTTTTTACAGCACCCAAACTCTTCTCGGTTGCTTTCAACTTTGTGAAAAAGTTCCTGGACGAATACACAATGAGCAAAATCAAAATCTATAAAAATGGCTGCGATAAATGGAAGGAGCCCTTATTCTCCCATGTGAATCCTGATATATTTCCAAAATGTTTTGGTGGAAATTATGTCGACGAGAATGGAGATCCAGAATGCAAATCGAAGGTTAGTTGGTATTGATGGATTTACTTTTGAAGCCATCACACGGTCCAAGAATGCGCGATTCTCGAAATGTTTTTTTTTACATTTGTATTTCTCAACGTCCTTTTGTAAAGTCGTATTAGTTTTGCGGTAATACCAAAATTCAGACATTGCGGCTTCCAGGTAACTTGGCTGTCGTGCTGTCGAAAGCGGCTTTGAAATCGGCGCAGAGATTGTCAGTCCTCGAATCGTCACATACGATATCGTACTATTCGTCACGTAAAAATACATTTTTCGGATCATGACATACGTGAACGTACTCTTTGTCCCATTCAGCTTATACTGCCTGACGTATCACGTAATTTTCTTTTGTATCGTTTTCGATCCGTGAACGGATCTGACGATTCGAGCCCTTCGATTCGAGGCTTATTTTTTATGCTTCAAGTGGTTATGTTTCCGGCCCCAGCGAAGTCAATCAGTCTCAGTCGGTTATGAGACCTTTTATCGTAGAGACCGAATTTTCCGACGATCGACCACACAGAGGCTTCCATTGCATTACTTCAGTTTTCCTTTGCTCTTATGCGGACGTCAACCGACCGCCAAAGCCACCTTGCCCATTAAGGGCCCAAACGTTTTAGGTGCATGCCCTCAAATAATTTCTCTGAAAATGTTAACATGGGTCGTTGTCAAAAGTAGAAAGTCTCATCCGAATCTTGTATCCATTGGAAGTTTGTTTTACGTAACAGATCGGTCACAACCCCTGCGCACAAGCCGCCGCCAAGATGGACGTCCGCTTGCAGCTGCATCTTCTCGTGAATAGACGATGCACACTTTAATGGACTGTTATGCCGAATGCGTGGGAATCATCCCACTAAATTTCTAAATTTCACAGTGGTCTAAGGCTTTACACGGATTGGTTATGGCATCTCACCGCTGCCGATAGAGTAAGAATTGAGTATTGTCGAGCTATGCAATTTACTTATCCTAGATCAGGGATAGTGTTCTATAAACTCGTCCTGAAATTCTTAGATTTAAGTCCCCCTCTCCTTTAACTTTTAGCAAGATCTACTTAGTTACCATACAAAAGGGGTTCGTTATCCATCATATAGTTGCACTGCAGTTAAGAAAGCTATCTTTGTGACTAGGACTTACTAACACGCTTGTGTGGATATGAACGCAGATGCTCCGCTGGTGGTAGGTAGTTCGGTAAGCTTGTACTTTGTTTGATAGGCACCTGGAGTAGATTTTAGGTTCAGTCCACACCAACAAAGGTTTGAAGGTCCAAAAAAGATAGAGAAGTTGACCTATTAAAAAAATTAAACTTCATGATAAATGCAGTTTGTAATGCTTTGTGAATATACTTAGTAATAAACAGACTTTTGCTTTTACTCCCCTTCTTCTAAAACCGTTTGTCGATTTGGGGCCCGAGACCTCTAAGAAGTTTCGCTAGTTTTTCGTACCAAATTTCCTGGGGTCCCTATGTACTCGTGGCCACGCTATTGTTGTTAGTCCAATGGTGCCGAGCCGAAAGATGTTTTCACTTAAGCGTCATCGTCCATATCCATTGCATTTAAATAGAAATCTACAAATCTACATACATATGTGCATAAACCATTCACACCTTTCCTTTCAGATCATTTGGGCTGGTAAAATTCCTCAAGATATGTTTGTAGAACACGGCAGTGGCAGTGACGACAACGATAAAGACTATAACGAGGCGACAATAAGTAAGGGTAACAAGCTCAAGCTGGACTTTCATGTGACCGAAACGAAACAAGAAAACCTAATGCTATCGTGGGACTTTCGCACATTCGACTATGACATCAAATTCGGTATATACAGCATTGACAAGACGACTGGTGAAAAACGCAGCGAAGTGGCGCTTGGTACCGTCTATTCCAATGAAATGGACGAGGTGGGCTTCATCTCCACAAGAGCCAATACGACATGTAAGTTATTAACATGCGTATACATATGTACATAACTAAAGCAAACCCTTAATATTTTCCCACATACCCATACATATTTAGATACGGTGGTTTTCGACAACTCACACAGCTATTTGCGCAGCAAACGTTTACGTTATTGTGTGAATCTAATCTCTGAAATTGATGATATTACAGAGCTCTCGGCGCAAGTACAACATACTGATTTAGTAGAAAAAAATGGCGATTAAGGCGTTTTACTTACTTAAAAGGGCGAACAATATGATCAAAGGATCGATGTGAATGTGATAAGCAGAAGTTAATGAATGCTACCAAACCCAAGGTACATTGAACAGGTAGTATCAGTAGAGCAGCTGATTTGATTTATTTTCAAATTATTTGGTCTCGAAAATGTCAAATATTTTTAATTTTTTCTCACGAAAATTATAAGTTGTTAAAATCCATTTGCTTGTGAAACCTTTTTCCATAAAAAACAAGCGATTGAATAGCAGCTTTGGAACGTTCGCCCAACTCGGCAGCATGACCGCTGATTACTGGGCCTTGCAAAGGATGGATCAATGCTTCGAGAAGCAAACAAATTTACTAGGAAAGAAAGTTGCATAAATTTTTATTTTTTCCAATTTAAATTTTTTATTTTTTATAATTTTTTGTATTTCACATGGCACGCTTTGATTTAGAAGAAAAAATTCAGAACAGTTGTTGACACTTTCGATACCAGAAGCAACAACAAAATACACGCAAATGTTGTTTTTGCTCTACTGATACCACCTGTTTAATGTGCCTTGTACCAAACCAAATATTCAAACGGATTCCAGGCACAGTTTATCGAGTCATTATACACTACTGTATGAATTATTGAAAGCCAAACAAGAAACTTAAATATACATAGGTAACGACAAGGCGTATTTAACAAGGTGGTGTTGGCCGTATATAAGTAAAAAATTACACTAACAAATTATACGCTGATGTCCATACTGTCATTGGTATGAGTTACAACAAACACATCATTTTGACGTAATGGCCTCCACGGCGAAAAACTCAGCTGTCGCCCCAACACCACCTTGTTTAATACACCTTGGGTAACGATATGTACCTTAATATAGAAGAGCTCTAACTCATTTTCTCTTTTGAAATTCAGTTCTGCGCAAAAGTCGGTAGATTACTCACTTAAAACTTAATCGAATTTAAAATCAATTACTACATCAAAAAATTAGTTTCTATGTTAATTGAAAACCAGTTCAGTGAAGAAAATCACATCTGAACCACTTTAGTGGGTATAGAGTTTTATAAATACTCTGCAAAGAACTAAAAATGTTAGATAGAGCCTTTTTATATTAAGGTAACGATAATAAACTTGCATTTTATTTGCTAAGAGAAACCCTCCTGTTAAAATAATTATAATTGATTGTAGCAATTTATAAAAATATACTTGTATATGTGAAAAAAAATAAATAAATAAAATCAAACAAGAACAAAGGCAACAATAAATATAAAAATATGGACATACTTACGACAGGTTTTTTGGGAAATAATTGGGCTCAATGCAACAATATTTGTGTGTATACATGTATATTTAATACACAAATGTGATTCTTTTATTAATACAATCATCTAAAGTTAGCGCTTTAATTTTGCGCATAGTGACAAAAAAACTGTATATACATATGTATCAGCGTTTGATATATTTACGCAAATTCAATAAAAGTTATGTTTCCGAACATTTAATTTATATAATTAATATTTGCATTTTACGGTTGATACAAATTTTCTTCACTACGCTACAAATCAAACGCTTTGCATGTAACAAATTGATCGTTTCTGATATATTCAAAATATAAATTTAATTTTAACCCACACGACACGGTTAGGTTTTGAAAAAATGCTATGATGTAGAAGCTGGTTGATTAATTAGTGTCCCGTCTGTTTTGTTTTCAAAGTACTCGATTAATGATCATTGCATATTAGGATTGCCGCCAGCACTGCCAGCACAGTTGTTATTCTTGTTTACCGTGCGGCGTTTGCGCCTTCATCACTGTGGACCTTGATTTTGTGCCATTTGCGGGTAACCGGGACCCACCGGCGATGGACCCATTTGTCCCATTTGTTGCATGGGCGAGTGCATCATCGGATTTGGGCTAGAACCGACCACTTGTCCTACTGGTGGACCAATATTCTAGAATAAAAAAATAATAACATAGTATGAGATACCTAAAAATAAAAGTGAAAACCAACCTGATTGGGTGGTGGCACATCGTTGGGTAATTGAAGATTGGTTAGCAATTCCAGTACAGCTGGAAATAGAGAACACTGGCCATGCTGAACACCGAATTCAGTGAAACGCCGCAGCGATGCGCTCACAGCATTCATCGCTGGTGATTGCACTTGTTCGCGTCGCTCAACCAGCTGTGTAATATTCGAAGTTAGATCGTAAACCATAGGCAACAACAAAGATGGGCTATCTTTCCATTCTTTTCCTTTGTATGGAATGCGCGTGATTTGCAGCTAAAAGATGTAATTGTTTTAAACATTCGGTAACCACTACTTATTTGACATTTTTTGTAAACTCTTGTATTCTTATAAATATTACTTACGAAAAAGAGAATCTTCAGTTTGCAAATATATATGCCTGGTGTACCAATAGGTATAATAGCTGCCGAAGGTGGCACACGCATGCAGAATTGCAATGCCCACTTTAATTGGTCCCCCATTACCTCAGGTTTCAGATCGAGCCGCATAATTTGCACAAAATCTTTGAGCACCTGCCCTGGACAACTGAGTACGCGACAGTAGGCTGTCATAGCGTTTGGTCGATAGGGAGGCGACACTACGCGCAAATCAAAGAACTGTTCCAATACTAGCAAATCATCAGCACTTAGTTGGAATGGTTGCTTGCCATCGGGCGTAGGTGGTGTAGGCAAGTGCTGTGCCTTCAAATGCAATGATTCCATGTGCATCTGGTTCAACATAACCTGAAATTGTAGGCCGTCTACTTTAAACAACACCATTCCCGGCTCATTGGAATTGAGTGGTGTGATAGATTCATCACCCTGAATATGACGCTGTAGCATGCGGCGCATAAAAACGCAACCCAAGAAACGTTCCAGCGGACTTATTTCCGGGCCGGTAATATCTTTGCTGGGATGTGGACTTGGCCGGCACAGTGTTTCCAGCGCTTCATGCGTCAGAATCGTGGGCACGGCACCAGCCCATGAGCGATTCGAGGGCACACGCGACATTGTTGATGTTGTGCCGGCATTAGTGCCACTTCCTCCGCTTGGTTTATGTTCCGGACTTTGTCCAGGACGTGGTGATGGCCGTGGCATACTGGGCGAACCCGGCCAATTCGTGTTAGCTGGCGACATTGCAGTAAATGGTGAGTCCTGATGTCCTTGCATATATAGCGTATTCGGGCCAGGGCTATGCACCATGTGTGGACTTGGTTGGGGATTTAGCGGTGACGATGGCATAAGGCCACCGGGTGACGGGTGCGGCATGTGGTGTGCAGGCGGCGATGTTAAGTTGTAATTTGGATGGTTTTGGCTGCTACCACCACCACTGCCAGCCGATGGATGTGGACTTGCTGGCGTATGGGGATTTGAGCTGGATGGTGGTGTATGTGGTGTGGGAAAACGCAATCCGCTATCACGAGGCGATTGGGGACCACGCATGCCGCCACTGGTAAATGGTGATGAGCCGCCAGTACCTGCGCCAGATACACTGCCAGGACCACTGTAACTGTCCTCCATACCCAAAGGCGAAGGTGGATTATCATCTTCACTTTGTGAGCGCCCACGATAAACGGCATTTTCATCGACATGTTTCAAAAGAAAGCCCTGCAAAGAAAAATGTAAATATTTAGTGTAAGTTTTAAATTCAAATAAATACATATGTATCTCCCAGGGTACAATAAGTACAGGTATTGTCTTCCCAGAGAGCGCATATTCCGATCTGCCTTATCATCATTCCTGCCCATACTAAAAGGTTTACTGCTAGGAAAAAGGATATTTCCGTACCCCATATACCATATAATATATTATGTCCACGTGTTTTTTCAAATAAATCTTCTGGCAGAGAACTTATGTATTTAATTTGCAAAAGCCGAAAAAAGCATTTACTTAGTAAATAAATTCAAAATTTGTATGGCTCCCTTTAATTTTAAACGTTTTTTCTTTAGTTTTTGAAAAATTATAAAAATTTAATTGGGCAAAAACAAAAAGCAAAGCCAAATAAAAGTAAAGAATCAACATTGAACTGCGTCAAATTGAAAATAAGGGAGCACGAATTTCGATGTGAAGCATAACTCTCTGGGATGGCAATACCTGTAATAATTGTACCATGTGTATATGCTATATACGTGCTAAATTACTCACTTTCAATCCCTGAATAGGTGTAAATTCGTCGATTAGATTGCGATCAAAACGAGAGTATGCGCCGTCTCTAATCGATACTAGACGGCCGCTGCGCATGCGTATCTCCAGACAATAAATAGCTTGATATGCCAACCGTATGAGACATGGCGATTGTGGGAGTATACAGAATGACAAAATTGGTACTTGGGGGCGCTGAATGTATAATAAATAGAAAACAATTTAAAAATGCATATGCTTCTGAACAGAACATGAGCAATATATACGTACTGGAATGCCAAGCAAGGGTATTATAGGCAGCTTGGCAATCGAACTCAGCGGATTATAGGTTTCATGCAATATTTGTACAACTTGTGTAAGATTGTGCTGGCGATTCAAATGCGAAGCTAACTGATCTCGCATCATAGAATGTGCATTCACTGCCGATATGCCGCCAACGTAAATAAGACGAAAACCATTCGACTGAGCACACCAATAAATATTACAAGTGACTTCTTTTTTTGGACCATAACCCAGCAGCAGATTCATGTAGTTGTACGACTTTACACTCACCATATCAGAAAGGTTTAGACGCTCTAAAAAAAATCATAGTTTTGTTACATTAAAATCTTCATATGCTAACGTAGACTAGCTACCGAGAAGAATGTTTTTTTTTTTATTTTTTGTTAAAAAGTACTAAAAAGCGTAAAAATATATAATTTGTGTAAAAATGTTTACTTACTATTCTTTACATGCTCGGAGAAGTTAAACACTAATGTGTATAGGTAAACAATCTTTGACCAGTCACGCAATAAATCATCTACTGTTTTGACAAAATCGTGGTTTGCCTGCTCATATGTCAAATAGACAGTTCTCCGATTTCCCTGCTCTTTTTGATGAGTGCTTTGTAAAGGAGTACTGTAAAAGACAAACTCCACACCCCAATTTCGTATCTGATTAGATTTGTTCATTTGTGAACGAACGGAAATCGAGAGCAAACGCTTCATGAGATCATTCCAAACAATTTTTTCAATAGTTGGTAATGACGTACCAGTTGGATTCTAATATATATAATAATCGTTTGATTAATTGCATGGACATAGTTCTTTTATTACGGAAATAGTTACCTTTTGATCTACTGGTGGTTGAACCGGCATGGGTAATGAAAGTATTTTTAGCACCAAAGATGTAGCGTTAGCTTCGACTTGCAAGCCGCTATTTGGTATTTCACGTCTCGACAATTCCTGTGCTAGATTCAAAAATGGTATCTTTTCATCGCACATCGCAATAACGTGCGCTAGTTCTGGTATAAAATAGGCTGGATAAATTGTCTTTTGCTGCTTGGCAGGTGGTCCAAGTTCACTATTTGATTTACGCTTGTGTGGTGGCAGTTCTATATGCGAAATAAAAAGAGAATAATATGAGTAAAATGGAGTCTAAAAATCTCTTTAAAGTTATTACCATCCACATCCGTGCCTGGGCCATGTGTGGCAACAAAAGTATCAAACTCGATTAGACGCAACAGCTTCGTGTATACTTTTGGTACTTCAGCGCTTACAGTTGGGGGATGGGGAGGAGGATTCGAACTGGAAACCAAACGCGTATTTTGTGATTCCTCTGCAGTAATATCAGTCTCAGTAGTTTGATATGCGACAAAACCCAAATGAAATGTGTATTCCATTTCATTTGGCGTATTGGGTTTTTCCTTTAACTGAACCACCTAAAAGAAGAAAATTTTTATTTTTTGTGAGCTCAAGCAATATGTATTTAGTGTACTGCCACCTACAATTATAACATTGGGATGCCGATGCAATTTAACATAAATTTTGTGTCTTCCGGGTTGCATAAGCGGATTATCGGGCAACGTTAGAAAGGGTAACGTCTCCGTTGTAGCCGCTGGTAAATGCTGTAAAGTTTTTTCGCAACGACGATGAGTTATCCAAAATCTACACAAATAATATATGGTTACTCGTATTTAGGGTAAGTTTATTTACATGGGCTTGTGTACATTTATTACATATTTTTATAAAAACTTTTATTTACCTTAGTTCGGACATAATTTGCTGTAATTTACTTCTATCGCCGTTCAAGCAAGTTTGCATTTCGGGCATAATTGGGCAGTCCAGATGCTTTGGCACGTGGCACCTTAACATGCCGGTGTGCGTATCAATGGTTATATGTACTTGTTCAGCTCGCAAGCACGGAGTGAGTACAGGCACTGTCAAAATTGCTGGCGTTCCTTGTAGATTAACTGTCAATAGTAATTTGTATGAGAAATTATTACTGTCCATGTGTAATGGAAAGTTTGACGTATTTACACTCACAATCAACGTCTTTTAAAAATGATTGGAATTCTAATTTAAGATCGTTGAGCCGTGACACAGAACGTATATATACAGTATACACAATTAGACGTTCCATAGAAAGATGATCAGATCTTACAGCACGATCAGCTACCTCTGCAGACTCTTTTGCGCCCAACGATGGCACATGTACCACAGCGAGTGGTCGCCCAATTTCATTAGGGTCTGATTGCACCGTCAGACGATAACCCAACTCAGACTTTGGATCTTTACTGGTGAGTTCGCGCCAATATGAAACAGTTATTTTCACACCTGGTATATATTCTTCAACGTTAATATTGTCATCCAAACGCTCATAGCTGAGACGTAGAGTTTGTGTGTAAAGTACTTCAAGCTGCAGAGATTGACAAAAATAGTGCAAACAGTTATAGACCTCGCTTAGTGCATTTGAATTTTCTACTAAGCGCGCCTGAATGAGCTGGTGAATATAATTAACTTGAAGTTGATGCACCAATGCCTTGCCATCTGATAAACATTCGCAAAAAAAGCAAAATAAAATAATAAATTCAGTGGTGTATTATATAATGAGTCCACAGAAGATGTATGTACTTACCGCCAGTTTCTTTGTCCTCTACTAATATGTCTATATCCAAAAGCCTCCATGGCACGTTGCTGCCATCACCCATAACTGTCAACGACACATTGAATTCATGTTTAATTTCAAACGTTACACGTCCATTTTTGATCTATTAGGAAAAAAGTATTTTCATCAAGGGTATTATTCATAATTATTGCATATATTGTATTGAATTTACTTTAAATTCCCTCATTTGTGGCAGCAGTTTGCCCGTAACTAAGCGGTGTTGTATCACTTGATTTAGTCTTAAAAGTGTCTGTTTCTTTTCTGCTGGCGTTATGGGATCTGGTGGTACAATGCGTTCGCGTATACAAGTGGGAAGGCGATTGTAGGTGCCAGTAGTCAGAACTTCTACAGCTGCAGGAATATGAAAGTTTGGCAGACGAGCGCGGATTAACGTTTCACGTGACATACGCGCCAACATATCCGCAGTTTCTATGAATAGCATATTTTGCTTGTCCAGGAAGCTCATGATATTCTATAGAAGAGTATAATAATTGTAAAAGGAAGCAACGTAAAGCTTAATATTTACGTATTTGTACATACCGCGGATTTGTCCACCTTGGAAACAGAGTTAGCCCATTTTACCAAAGCAATAAGACGTATAAACAGCTGGCGAGTTCGCGCCGAAAAATTGTAAATCTCAATTTTTCGTTCCATGTCAGTTTTACGGGGTAACCTGTGTTTATGGTAATATATAAAAAAAAAAAATACTTTTATTCTTAGGGCTTCCAGCATATCGGTGTTCGTAAATTCATACATGTATTTTTATATACAGTTATGCGGATATTTAGCAATAGTTAAGTATTTACGGGAATACTTCCTACGGTACAATATGGAACTTATCATATAAGTATGTATGTACATATTTACTTACAATTCTGCGAGCACTGTGAGATCATGGTAAGTCCTCTGAATTATAAAATCAATTAGAACAGCAAGTGAGATTGTGTTCATACGGGGGCCACCCTCCTGCCCTGAAGGCAGGTATCCGGTCATTGGTCCTTGAAATTTACCTTCCAAGGGCTGAGGAGCCGGTGCCATATTGTGGCGAGCGTGTCTCGCACGGCCTTGAGCAGTGCTTTATAGTTTTTAAATTTACACTTTTGTTAAATCTTTGAGAAACGTAGCGTTATATATAAAGATTGTGAAACTAAAAACAGCTTTTAACAACTTGTCCAATATTTTTCAGGGGTCAATAGAGAAATTGTGGGGCAGAAAAAAAATCCAGCATATTCAGCAAACATTTGTGCTAGATCACCTTACTAATGTTCAAATTTTAACACAAAATATACACAAACTGGAGTTTTTTTACTAAAATCTATATAAATTATATATTTTTCGATCACAGCAAGAAATCGGAACAATTTTCACAAGACGCGACACGCTGAAATGTCAATAAATTTTGCTGTCATGTTTATTGGCTGATTACTGTTGTCAAAATAATAAGCTTACAACAGGTTTACACTTGTATTAAAATAAACATGATTATTACTGTCAAATTTGAGCAGCAGCTTCCGCTGCCACAAATCAAAACGGAGTTAAGGGCCGTTTACATACGGCTTTCCTCGCTTTGCTTGACAGTTCGAAATATAACAACAAAGGCAAAGAACATAGTGACGCGACAAAGAGATCGACAAGAGGGAAGTTTGAGAGCACCCTCTGCGACATCGTTTAATGGTGTACCAAGTAAGGGCATAGCATTAATCCATCCAAAACCGCCATCGTTCCATTTACTAGGAAAAGAGCCCTACTGGGCATCAGGGACATTACTTTGGATGGGGACGTGTCCGACGACAGCGCTGGAAGTGGTCCTTGAACTCGAGCCCTTTTATATAAGCATACTCAGTTTTGCCAAAGGGGAATATGGAAGAGGCAAGGTCATTTCCTCCAAGATCATGGCGAAGCTAGGGGCCTCGCTCCCGCTAGCTTTGCTTCCGAGGGATGACATATGTATATCTATAGTTTTTGAAAAGAAGTTTAAAATTAAGTTAAGCAGTAAAGCATCCTGGAGTACCTCCGCCCTCGATAGACTCCTTCACGATAGTACTGGGACTGGAAACTCTGGACCCAGGACCAGGATATCCATTCCTATGGGGAAATACGCGAGCATATTTCAAGCAGAAGTCTGTGTGAAGAATGAAGCGGCGGACTAACTCGCAAGAGAGGCGGTAGCCAATACTCCAGTTTGTTCTGAGACCTTCCTGTGAGTGGGTCCCAGGACCAGGGAGGATAGGAACAATATGAAGGACTTGAACTGGCATAGTTTGGTAGTAATGCGTCAGGCAAAAAGCCTGCTATAACAAGAAGAGATTCAAGAGATTAATTAGCCTTCCGAAAGAGAAGCTGAGAATATTACCAGGTTTTCTTACTGGACACTGCAGACTAAGAGGGCATCTATATAAGCTGGGGATACGATCAAATGACCTCTGCCGGTTTTGCGACGTTTCCAGTGAAATACCACTATACATCCTCATCGAGTGTGATGCCGTCAGCAAAAGACGTGAGAGGAGTGTAGGCTCAATGTGGCCACAGCAGGAGCGCATTCACTCGCTATCCCCGAATAAGCTATGGAACTTCTGAGGGATCTAGGCTCGGAGGAAGTATTGTGAAGAGCAGAGGGCACAGTAGATCATTAGTCGCAGTGCATACTATCTATCTATCTATCTAAGCTCCAAAATAAGGATAATCGTGTCACCTACATGAACTAGCTTCCACTAGTTTTTAATGTCGTCTTAATGCCTGGCCGTTTTCATTGTTGGTGGAATGACTAGGCTCGTTTAAGGTATAAGTACCGACGTAAAATCTGTTTAGGATGGTGTGATTATGAAAGATTTTATAAATTGAAACGTGGCAGCCCTAACTTCATCAGCTGGAAGTTTGTCGGTTTCATCACAAATTTTCGACCCCCTTCGTTGTCGTTTGACAACCATTTCTGGTTTTCACTTGCGACGCACCTTGGGCTATATTATCCATTGAAATTGATAGTTTGTGCTCGCTGCAGTAGTGTTTTTACTAATTGAATATTTGATAGTGAATTTAGGTATTTTGAAATAACCTCTGACCCCAGATTTTTATAGCAATGGGCTTTTTGAGTTATGTGTTTGGACCGAAATTATATCAGGAGTATGGGTTGGATAAGGTATACATACGTATGGATATAAAAAATATTTTGCAACAATATTATAACTAAAAATTATTTATATCGTTTTCTATAGAAACTTTACGAACCAGGTGGCTTGGAACGCTTTGGTGATCAAATTTTATCCACGGTAATTTACATACACAACTAGTTTATTGGACGGTTAAACTACCACAATACTCAAAAATGATTTTGCTTACAGCTCTCTTTGATGTGGAACATTAGCTATTATACATCTCCGCTTATAGTAACTTTCTTGTACAGAAGAGGCTACTTGATTGCCGATTCCATTTCATCATTTTTCAAGTTCACCACTAGTATTGGTATCATTGTCGTCATATCGTTATGTATTCGCGGTTTAGGTCGCTCTCAATCAAGGTCGTATGTAAAAATGATCAAGGCTATCGAGTTGTCCAAGTTATCCAACTCTGATGAAGCCAAGCGAGCTATTCGGAAATTCGACTTTGATTTTCGTTCATGGCAGGTAGACTTTGATGCAAGTAGCTTGCAAAGGTGAGAAAATTAAAAATTCTTTGTAGCGAAAAAAGTAATGGAACTCATTTTCTAACTTCTTTAGCGATGAGAAGAAAAGACAATTAGCTACAAGCAGCCGCGACCCTCGCCAATTTAGATTTGCTACATTACCATGCAAACTAGCCGCATATGTGGCCATACACACATTTGGTATACGCATGATTTATCCCGGATATATAAAGATTTTACAATATTACATGCGTAAGTTGAAAGTTTATACCATTCCCTATGAAAAAATATGATTTTCTAATTAAATTTCTTAATAATACAGATGCATTCTTGGTTGAAGGACGGTCCAAATTGGTTGATGAGCACAATGCTGTGCGTAACAAAATAAAAACGGTAGATCACAATGAAATCGATAGCATTTTCGTAGACAATCGTCAAAATGGAAATGCAAACGGAGATACCCTAGTTATTTGTTCTGAAGGTGAAAATCACTTATAGTATGTCTGATTTGATTAAACAATTAGTTGATTTTAATTAAAAAAGGAAATGCCGCTTACTATGAAGTCGGTATAATGGGCACACCGTTGGCGTTAAAGTATTCTGTACTAGGATGGAATCATCCGGGTTTCGCAGGCAGTTCTGGTGCTCCATATCCAGATCAAGATAAAAATGCCATCGATGCCGTTGTGCAATTCGCTATTCACCATCTTGGTTTCGCCGTCGAAGACATTATTTTATATGGCTGGAGTATTGGTGGAGTTAGCGCTTTATGGGCTTCGAATCTCTATCCAGATGTAAAGGGAGTGGTAAGACAAATTCCTCTATGATATCGACAAATCTTAAATTTGTGCGCAGATTTTAGATGCAACATTTGATGACGTGTTGTATCTTGCGCAGTCGCGCATGCCCGAGAGCTTGGCCGGTATAGTGAAGCTTGGTATAAGGGAATATTGTAATTTAAATAATGTAGAATCTATACAAAATTACAATGGACCAATACTACTGATACGGCGGACCGAGGACGAAATCATTTCCGAGTATATTAAATGATATACAAATATTATGTTATCATAATTGGATTCTATTTTTAGCGATAATCGCATTGAATCTAACCGTGGAAACTACTTGGTTATAACTCTACTTAAGTATCGTTATCCGTTGATATTTAAGACGGCACAATTGGCACGGATTAAGAACATTTTGTCGCGCCCTGTAGAAACAAAGAACTTTTCATGTAAGCACGCAAGTTAATTTTCTATTTGATATATTTTTTTAACTATTAATTCCTCCTTTCAGTAACAAATGATGACCTTTGCATGTCCCGTCTCATAACATACGCTTCTGATCAGGGTAAATCGTTTCCGATGTTGATTGGTGAAGATTACACAGAAGAAACTCGAGATCAAATGGCCGAATTTTTAGTAAGCACCTTCTATAAGCCATCATTACAGATAATTAACTAAAATGTATTTTCAGCTGCGAAAACATTTTCGTGATTACAAATCTACACATTGTACACCGTTGCCTAGAGATTACTTTGACATTCCATGGGACATTCCCATTGAAAGTGGCTTTGTATTTACCTAAATCGGTTTAATAATATGAGGTAGCTGTGACTGTCATTAGTTGTACACTAAGCAAAGCTGTACTAATATTCGTTGGCGATTGATAATAGATATTTGAAGTTCTATTTCCGTTTATGATATATGGAATGCATTTAGATTTAATTTGATTGTAATTAATAAAAATATTTCAACACTTGTTTGGGACACTGTATTGAAAAATGACATTGAATAATAAAATGAGTAAATAAGAACATAAACAGTAGAAAAGAGTTGAATAACAAAATCCAAGAAAATTAAAAAATAACAGCTGAAAACTTTAAAAGTCGTTTTATAGCAGATAATCTATATTTTATATGCTGCGTATTTTTTCGAAACTCGTTTTAAATTTTATAAATTTCATATAATGCGTACCAGAAATGTGTGCTCGTGGATTGTTCTCCTTTCGCTAGTGTCATTTGCAGATTGCTTCTGGGGTGATAGTGTTATTCGAGACATGATAAATAGTTTTTCTAGTGTTGCAGAGGTACAAAAATTTATTTTGCCTTCTGGAAGTTCTAAATTTAAATATTAAGGTAATTTTCAGGACGATGAATGTGATCAACCCGATTTGTGCAATGAGATGCAAATTATGTTGCATTTGGCTTGTATACGGGTGACGAGTCCGGAACGCATATTACTTTTATTGACATGGGACTCTGTAGACAACACGTGTAACAGCACACACCGGGTTTTGGGTCACATAAACGACACACTCACAGATTGTGTGCCGTCACCTACAACCAATCTCTATATGCGGCTGTATCGTGCACTAGAATTCTTTGACGAACAAATTTGCGGCAGAGCCGAAACCAAGTCGAAACGTTGGTAAACTGACATGGTCTCCATCTATGAGCTTACTCTGTTTAAAAACTATACTCAAAACTTTCTATTTGAAATCCAGATTTGGAAAATTATCGCAGTTGTATATCAGAACTCCGCGACGACTTGATTGATTGCGAGGGTCCGGCAGATTGGTTTGAAAAACGAAGTAAGGCGTATGTATGCAGGTGAGGCTTGTTAAATAATTAATACGTTAATTTAATACATACATACATATTAGACTGCTGTAAGACACAAAGTGCGCCATGTTGGTGAAAGAAATCAAAGTTAGAAAAATTTTGAATACATAGATGTATGTATAATTTTGCTATCATTGTGACTTAATAACGTTTCAATCAGAACTTTATTTGAACTTGAGCCTAGTTTTTTTTATATAATTTTAAATTTTTAGAAGTTATATAGCTCCTATTCTGGTGGTGAAAACCATATCTCGTAAGAATTCTCCTTTTTAACCCTAAATAACAAATTTAAGCTTAAAAACACAAGTGGCTGATATAAATTTTTTATTGGAAGCGTACTTAATTTTAAGTTCTACTATGTACCCTCACGTAATATGAGTTTATATACATAAATGAAAAATCAAAAGATAAAAGAATCATATATATTAATGTCTTTAGTTCATTATTTAATATACTCCAGGCAATTTACCGAAATAATCAACTGTGACTACATAAGAACAGCTCTGCTCTGTGGTCTTAAGCCTGCGCGTATGTTGCGAAGTTTTGCAGCCGAAATTATAAACAAAGCGTTAGTGGTAAGCCGTCTAAATTATATACATACACGCATATCTTCATTCGTAAATGTACATATTTTCTAAAATATATTCAGTTTTATTTTCTGATAAAAAAAACTTTCCTGCAATCTCTACAGTCCAAGTGTCCAGTATCATCGTCATTACCTCATGTGAATAACCCGATGTCAGGCGCTGCCAGCCGAATGCTTCCAAGACTTTTCCCCGTTCATATTTTTATATTTTTTCTAGCATTTATGTTACAATGTTTGATGTAATAACAACTATTTATTATAAATATAAAATGATTACCAATGTGGTTTTTTTCTAAGAGTTCTTTTTCGATCCACCAAATCCGGAAAATCCCATAATGGCAGCCATATCATCGGACAGTTCACCTGTGAATAAATCGTCATTTGCTTTTCTCTTGCGTTCTTTCCGCTTTTCTTTTCGATGTTCCTTGTAACGTTCTTCTTCCTCCTTGGCTTCACGTAGTCGGCGTTCCAGTTCATAATCCTTTTGTTTTTCTTCCATCTTTTTTTTATTCGCCTGGAAACGCTCTTTCACTTGATCGACCGTACTGCGCTCCACTTTCATTGACATGCCCAGATTGCGTTGATGCTTTTTTCCATTAATATGATCAAGAAAATTGATCGAATCTTTGACGACACAATCGCATACATTGCAATAGTATCCGCCAGATTGTGAGGTAGGTGTGTTCTTATTAATGACTACACTTTTGCCTAGTTTACTGTCGAGATCCACTTTATAGTCACGTCGCTTCAGGTTCTCTCGTTGTACAGGTTCTGGAAGTGGGCAACACAAATTTGTACATTAAATAAGTTTAGTTTTAAGTTAAGAATGGAACGCCCATATTTTTTTGCAAATACCATGGCGTTATATGTAGGAAATCTAACCTTCATCTTTTTGATTAG